AAGTCTTTGACTAACCACACCAGTTTTGCTTCTTGGATCTGGCTGAGTAGATTTTAACATGAAGTTGAAACAACACATTTTACCTGAATGTCGCATGCATTTGTGCTGTCAGGCAGAGGCCCTGGCACTCAGGAGTAGCTGTGGCTTGGGAGGAAATATCCTCTATTTTATACCAGTATGCCACTGTTGTGGATAACTAGTGATGTAAAAACTCACCTGTTTAGATAAGCCTGAAAAAAACCCCATGCTTTCCATCTTCCTTACCTGAAGGAGCTGTGTGGAAAATGAGCTATTCCTTTGGTATAAAGGGATTCCTACCTTACAGTAGTGCAGTTTGTTTATGCCATCAAAATAGTTTAAAAAGACTATTGACAGAAAGCAGAAAGTATAAAGAAACTTATTATATTGAAAAATAGAAACTTTAAGGACTTTGTGTTGGTACCTGCTTGTTTCTTTCTTTGATACAAAGGCAACTCTCTAAACATGAGGTAGCACGTACTTTTCTGCTTTGGTATGTTTTCTGCATTCAGTATCCATTGTGTTGAGCTGCATACAGCTAACATTGTTTTCTGCTTGCTTTCTTCTTTAAGAATAATTAATCCAAAATTTAATTAAAAAATCACTTTCCCAAACACAGTATTTCTTCATATTCTCATTTGCTGTATTTAGACTAATTTGTCTTGACATTGCAGCTGTGCTGTTCTTTGTGTTGCACAATCTTTTGAGTTTTGTTTCATTAAGAATGGAACTAAAGAATTTGGGGAAGGGGAGGGAAGAAGTGCTAGACTGTTAGAAGTTAATTTGCCGTAAACCAAAATGTTGAGAACAGATTACGAAAGCTATGAAGTGACATGTAAATGCTTGTTCAGTTTCACACTTGTGAGAAATAAGTCATTTAAGCTGTGTGCACGTGAAATAGATGTTTGGTTACAGCTACTGGGAATAGTTTTTTCTTACTGGTATATTCAGAAGCATAGAGGAATATGCTTAGAAGATATTGATCTCTACACTCCAAAAAACTGACAGGTTAAACTCACTTTAAAAACCAGCTCTACTCTTTGTTCAGAACAGCTTCATATGTTCTATCTATCCTACCTAGTTTCTGTGTGTCTAAAGTATATTGCAGGTTAGAAAATTCATGTTTTCACTATGCTTTTGGGATTTGGGTTTTTTCTTTCCTAAATTAAAAAAAAGCTAATTCTGGGTGAAGAGGATGCTTAACTTGCATTTCTTGATGTTAAATATTGCATAACTTCTCTGATTCTTCACCCTGATGCATCACAACGCAATTCCTTTCATCCATTATATTCTACTTATTTGTTTCTCCTCAATGTTGAAAACTGGTATGTTTGTCACGAATAAATGGTGTAGCTCTAGCTTTAAGTACTTCAACGTTTTGTTTAAATGTCTTCCTCTGCAGCTGTGAAAGGTAAAATTGAAACCTCAAGGATCAAACCAGAAGGCAGATTGTTTGATTAAATCACTTGAGTTGATTTGAATTATTTTGGGGGCCTGGTTCATGACCTCTAATGCCATGGACAAAACACATTTCTTGCTTGGTATCTTCTAACACTTTTTTTTTTTTAATGGAGGATTAGCATGTCCATGCATCACCTCAAAGACTAATGTGGGCTGTGCTACCTGTTCAGACAAATTCCAGATGGGAAGGCCACCCAGGAGGCATCTTGCCCCAAACCAGTCAAACTCTTAACTAGTTTCTCAGCAGCACAACAAGAACACAGAAGACTTCAGGTCTGGTAGGCAGATGTAGCTGAAGCTGAAAGAAACTAGAAACTAGGTTGATCTGGTTTATGTAACGTGCAGAAAAACTGGGGACCAGAGTATAGAGAAAGCTGCTTTGATCAAGAAAGTGTGCTGTGCCAGAAACTCAGGAAGAACACTGATTTATTTGGGGTTTGCTTATACAATGAAAGAATAACTTCACTTTGGGTTTGTTTTTTCCCATCGAGAGGAGGCTGGGAGGAGCAATGGGCAAGCCATTACTCTGAGCCTGGAAATGCATCCCCCCATAGGGTGTGTCTGCCTCTGAGAGTGCTTGTTTTTAAGTGTTGACTCCCAGCTGCTGCAGATGGCTGGAGGGTGGCAGCAATCGAGATGACTTTCTCTGACACCCATTTATCTGAGATGCTGATAGTTGGCTGCAAAGTTTCCTACATGTGATAGTTGTGCTATCTTTATAGACTGCCTCAGCTTCAGGTTTTAAATGGATCTGTGGGATAACATCCCATGACAAAGTACAGGGGCCTGCTCTGAACAGGCTGCTTCAGAGCACTTAGGTCTCATGCAAAGATTTCTATGAATTGCTAATTGTCTTTAGAGCAGAGGAGCTGTGTTTTTTTCCTATGTGGCCATAAATGACTTTTTAAGAGATGACTTACATGAAGTGACTATAGTTCTGCACTGGGAGTTGTTCAGTCTGCACTTGAGATGCTGAAGACGTCACCCAAAAGTGTGCTCAACAGGCTTTATTCATCATGTGCCAATTTCTTCTGGTTGAAAATGAGTTACTTTAGCCACAAGCCCTGAAAACTCAGATTTTGTAATCTTTTTGCTTTCAAGCAGTGTAGCATAGATTAGTGGGCTTTCTGCAATTTACTGTTCTGGTTATTTCCCATATTTATATATATGACTGAAAATTCTCTTCTTCAGCCATAGCTAAATATAGACATTTATGGACACCTAGTTATAGTTCATCATATTAACAACAAAAAAAAAAAAGGAAAAAACCAGTGCTATAGTAAGGGTGCACTTTATAGCTTAGTGCACTTGCCTGTTTATCTTTTGGAAGAAAACATTGATTCATGCCTTGAAAGTGGTAGGGAAAAAATCTATTACTACTTCTTTCTCTCCCCCGAGAAAAACTCAAGGCAATTGCCCCTTTCCTGTAGTTGCTGTGGTTTGCAGCCAGAGCTTCAGTCAGCATTATCCAGCTTTCTGCAATGGGAGGTGGCAATCAGTCATTCCAATGTGATGTGGACAGATAGCTGAGACATAAGTGGAAACTGATGATGGAGCTGACAAATGCTTTGGAGGGGAGTAAATTTTTAGCAAGACCGAGTCAGGGCACAGATATCTTATAGGGATAGCACAGAGCATCCAGGATAGTGTACACACCACTAGTGTTGGAGTGTGCAAGGCAGGCTCCAGATAAAGAGCACTCTGTAAAAGTTCAGTGCCATCCAAGCGAAGCCTCTTACGATTTCAGTCGGCACTGCCCGATGATGACTGGGCTTTGTTGCCATGCAACAAGGGAAGAAAGGCTGAAACTTTGTGTGCCTGGCACAGATTAGTTTAACAGCAAACTGAATTCTTGTCCGAGGCTCAGTACAAGAGGTTTAGAGATCCCTGCCATGAGGAAAGAAACAAATGCAAGGCAGCTTGCTCTGATTATTTTTTTATAATTAGCTTCGTTTTGTAGTTATGACAGAATCTAGGAGTTGTATGAATCAACAGTAAAGGCAAGGAGTCAGGAGGTCTGTTAATCTTCTGTCATCTGCCAGCTGTCCAGTGAAAACACTCTTTTGTGTGGTGTTAGGAGGTCTGGATTAGTCATTTAACACCTGCAGGCAAAAATGTTGTACAGGAACATGTGAAAATCATTAGAGCAAAACTGTCCTGACGTCTATGATTGGAAAATGCAGACAGCCTAAGAATGGAATTAGATGGATTCAGCTGTAGCTTGCAAGTCTTTTAAAGAATGCAGCTGACACTACTCAGACCAACAATTAAGCAAGTAGCAAATACGTAAGGGGCATTTTCATGCTCTGAGTTTGGATACAAATTACATGGGCAGACTAGGTTTCTGGGAGGTTTAAACTGAGTGGTACTGAGTGAGTTAGACTAGTAGCTCTGTCACTAATAGACTGATATATTAACTAGGCATGTCTGTGGTTAAAAAGCATTTTCTGAAGTTCTTGGGCAATTTAAAAGTGATCTCATATGGTACACTGACAACCTAGAAACCAAAGTACATTGTAACTACACATGCCATTTTACTACTTCATTGATTTTTGTAGCATATATGGCACTCTGCTTAATACTTATTAAAATGAGAAAGTGTTGAGTCAGCTTCAAAAGAGAGATATGACAAAGGTACGTAATCTAGTAGGGGTGATCTTCTAGCAAGTACCTTCAATTTGTGGCTTAAAATTTAATTTTTTAAAGGTGTTAAGTCTGACTCAGAAACAAACTTTGTTATAATCAAAACATAAAAATTGGAGGTTAAAATGAAAGTTTCATCTTGAGACTTGCTTTGGCTTTATCTTGTTTTATTTTTAAACTTCTAAGGAATTGGTAACAAATGTATATCTTGTCTTTTTAGTTATAGCAATGTTTATGGATACTAATAGAGATGGAAAATAATTTAGACTAGCAGGTGTTTATTGTATTGTAAGTAAAAAGTAACATCAGCAAAAACTCTGCCTTTAGTATTTCTTTTAATGTAAAATGCCCAAGGTGATAAGTTATTTGGATAAAACTAGCCATATCTAACTTACGAAACACACTGTCAGTAATTAGAACTGATAATTGGTACTGATCTCAACAGAAGTGCTGGATGGTGTAATTAAACACTTTGCATTCCTTTTTCTGTCTTTAAAAAAATGTGACTTCCATCTTAAGGTCAAATTATCTCTTTCTGATAACTAGTCTCTTGCAGAAAAATAAACATCTCTGAACTCAATTGATCCTTTAACCTTAGGTTTTCTGGAGATGTAATCCTTGCTGACTTGCTGTCTGAATTCACAAACAAGCTGTAGATTTTCTGTTGGCGTTTTTGACAAACTCAGAAGTTCAAAACCAGTACAATCATTGTACTTTTATATTCTTGATAATAAATGAGAGATGTTTTGAAAACTTATTACTAATGTAGCTTGTTCATGGTATGGTGTGCTGGTTTTTTTGTTTGGTTTTGGGTTTTTTTGTTTGGGTTTTTTGTTTGTTGATGTTGTTTGTGTGTGTTTTGTTTTTTCACTTCTTAGACCACTAAAGCATTCCTTCCCAAGATGCTGGAAATGAACCATGGACACATCGTGACAGTTGCAAGTTCCTTGGGATTATTCAGTACTGCCGGAGTGGAGGTTTGTTAGACTATACTTTATAAAAAAATTGACACTTCTTGGTTAGGATAAGCTTTTTTAATTTTATCAGCTAGAGAAAATGAAGTCAAATTTTCTAAGATACTTGGAGGCTGTGGTGATGGGTAGCATGTCAACACGTGGCTCCCTCAGGACTCAGGCAGCCACTGCATTCATCTACTTGGATGGTGGACGTGCCACCTCACCGAAAGCTGAGGATGGCCAAGGGTTTCAGAATGCTAAATGATCTTTGAATAAATTTAGCAACTTGAAAGTTGACCACCTACTCCTGGCAAGATCTTCTATGTTAAGCTTAAAGCCAAAGGCTTTCAAAAGTGATGTTTTCTGTTTGTTGTTTCTGTGAGGAAATGGCTGTAAACCTTCCAGAATATATGTCTCGCTTCACTAGCAGCTGTTTGAGAACTCCAGTTTGTGAGACTTGTTTGGTGCATAAAAAAAGGTTAGGATTAGAGCTTATTGTCTTGCTTTTTGAGTCATTAGTACAAATGCAAGTGTGAACAAAAAACATTCAGTTAGTAAAAATTAATTAATATGTCTAAAATAATAATGGTCATATTACCCCATAAGCACACAGGCTTCTTTGCATACAGGTAAGGCTCAATCCAGGGCCTTAAACCACAGTGTTTCATAACACAAATAGATGAAGCTGGTGTAATTCAAGCCTTTGTAGATTATTTACTGTTTTGAGAAAGCTACAAAGGATTTCCTGTGGGTGTGACCACCAGAAGAGATGGACACATCCAACAGAAAACTCAAATGCTACTGCTGTCTATGCAATTATTTTTTATTTTGCTGAATTTAGTATATTATCTCAAAGAAATATTCAAAACTCCATTATGTCTTCTGTTGAAACTAATCTTAAAAATAACACCATTAAGATTTTTATGCCTACGCTGTGCCAACTCTCCAAGTGTTTTCAAATCTGACCCAAGGTAGTATTAGGTATCTCAGTCCTTTGTTGTACCATTTATTATTAAGCAAACTGGTAATTGGAGTAACTTGTCATGCAAGCCTGCCTGATTCAAAGACTTGAATTCAAGGTAATATCCTCCTACATTCAGCTTTCCTGCTTTCATGATTCTGGGCTAATTGCCTCAAAAGTAAAGTGATAAATGAGTTGATTTGATCCTCTATTCAGTGAGTGTCTTTTGTTGTTGCTTTGAAAATCTGTGCAGAATCACCTCAGGTATGCTGGCTTTGAACATCATTCATGTCTGTCCTTTCTGTGTTCCTTTTTTTTTTTTTTTTTTGGCTTCATTCATTGCCAACACAGGATTATTGTGCCAGCAAATTTGGAGCTGTAGGTTTCCATGAGTCTTTGAGCCATGAATTGAAGGCTGCTGAAAAGGATGGAATCAAAACTACTTTAGTCTGCCCTTATCTTGTAGATACAGGAATGTTTAGAGGGTGCAGGATCAGGTGAGTAGAATTCTCCTTCTGCTCTGTGCTTGTAGTGCCATAAAAGTATTTGAAGGTAACTCAACTGTTACCATAAAAAATATTAAAGTAAATGTTATATCTGCTTTAGTATACATTAGTGTTACTCAAAAAAGAGAATTTCTGAATTTGCTGTCTTCTGTCGTTTTGTACACAGGCAATGCAACTTTTGAGTTATAGTCTTTGTAATTTAACAGTGAATGTAAAGAAGTTCCAAGGAAAGTGAGTTAATGAACTCTTCACTGAGGTCTGTGGTCCTTTATGTATCATATCAATCTGTCTTAAATATTTCAGAAAAGAAATTGAGCCTTTCCTTCCACCCTTGAAACCAGAATACTGTGTGAAGCAGGCTATGAGAGCTATCCTTACAGACCAGCCAATGATCTGCACACCTCGCCTCATGTATATGGTCACCTTCATGAAAAGGTAAGAGCTGAAGTCTCAGTTAGTTGGCAATACAATGCACAAAATATTAGCAAAATACAGGAGCATGTCCAATACCTGAATATAAACACCCACCCGCACAGACCATGGGTGTGGTTTTGTTAGAATTCATAAGTCTCTCTCTTGGCTTGCATGCTTATAGGTAGCTCACTTGGGAAGCTGCATAAACCTGAGATCCCATGTATTTATGCATCCTTGTTTTAACCTTCTGGTATCTCCCATCTTCCTTAGATTCCTATTTTCTTTTCAACAGACTTTTATTTCCACTGTTTGAGATTCTCTCTAGGAATGGGGCACGAGGCAGCAGACTAACATTTAACCACTTGTATCTAGAACCAGTGTGTAGGAGACCCTGCCTGCAGATTCTCCAGAACTTGCACAAATATTGTAGATGAACTGAAAACCTGCACATTTGGAACCAATTTTCAGAGCAGAAGTCTGTGGAAGGACTATTTAAAGGCGTTACTATTTTTGTTCTAATACACAACAGTTGTTTGGATAGAAACTGTTTCATCTGTAACCAGGCTGACACTTTAATGATGCAGGGTAATGCAGGAGTTGCTTCAATTTCTCTGATGCAACATCACTTGCATTCTGGTTTGTGGAGATCAGCTTCAGAGCTGTCTGTGGTTTTGTTTTAAATCTGTAATATATAAGGGGAACCTTTAAAATAGAGCGTTGTCTTATTTTCCTTCTGCGAGGGATGGTTGAAACTGAGAACCTTGGTGACTTTTATTCCACTTACAAAGTGGTTCTCCTCCTCAAGTCTCTCCTGGTGGACAGGCTCACCTAAGAATAGAGGAATCTTTACTGCTCACCTCTTCCTGGAAGAGCATATATATCAATCTAGTCTGCCAACAAATGGAGGCCACTGTCAGTATCTTTAAGAACTAACTTCTTCAAGCAGAAGCTCAGAGGGTGCTTCAGCGCTTCCTGCACAAGCAGTGCCTTATGCAGCAACAGTCACATCAAAGACCCTTTTAGCTTCCAACAGGGAGATCAAAGCTTCTGCATAATCCATGCCCCAGGCAGCAGCCTTCAGATCAAAGGCCCTCCAGTCGCTACTGCACAAGCAGTACTGCTGGCAGTGAGGACACCTGTACCAGTGACATCTACTTCTTGGTGCTTCAGTGGTCATTACTCCTGATGGCTGGAATTTGTGCACTGCTTTCCACTGAATGTCTGCTGCTGTTTCCAGGGGCTGAGGAATCCCATTTTAGTCCTTCACTAGAGCCCCTGAGTGCTACTCTTGAAATAAAAACAATATATTGTGCACGAGAGAAGGGTCTGTAGCCAGGTACCTATCACATAATCACCTCTTGGAATTTTATCTGGAGGGGGGGAAAAAGGAAATTGCTCTCTTTACTTCGGACCTTTCTTTTTGAGGATGGATGATTGCGTTTAGAATATAAATCAAGGTTGTTAGACATCTGGTGATCAAAGAATGGCATTAACTAACACTAATCCCACATTAAAGAATATCTTAAATGTCTGATGACCTCTGCTGATGTGGCTTTCAGCAGATGCTTTGCCTTGAGTAGACCTTCTGTGATGCCCTTGCCCCATCACCCCACCCCTTTCCCCCCCACTTCTTTAAAACAAGCTATCACACTGCTTGTGAAGAAACAGAAAATCAGGTCTAAGCTGGAGGGATTTGAATAAACAGCTTCTTCCTTTCTGGTTGCCTTTGTGGTTGGGACTCTAGAATTTCAATTCTCCAAGTATCCCTGTGAAATAAAAATCCTTTAAGTCTTTAAGACTCTAATAGCTATTATGTTGCTTTTAAGGAGACCGAGTACATAGTACATGTAAGTGCATATACTTACAAGTATACGTAAGCAGAGGTTTTGTTTTATGCTGTCTAACAAATTTATAACCTCTTTTCCACAGTATTCTGCCATTTGAAGCAGTTGTATGCATGTACCGATTTTTGGGAGCAGACAAGTGTATGTATCCTTTCATTGCTCAACGGAAACAGGCTACAAACAACAATGAAGCAAAAAACGGAATTTAACAGTTTTGGATGGACTAGCCTTTATAGGTGAATGCAATAATGTTACATGACTGAATTGCGAAGTGCACTTGCATCTAACAGATGCAAATGTCAGCATCTTAATGTGGCATTCTCTTGGGTCCTAAACCTGTGTGTTGAACTCTAAAAATCAGTGCGTTTTTATATACTGTAAATAAAACTGACTAGAGTACTTGGGAAATGTGATAGGTAAGTCAGATGAATTTACGATGTAGCTGCCACCATTGTCCTTTTAGAATATCACTGTATGTACAGTAAACTAGCCATACTACTTGTAGGGATGCACTGTGTGATATCTCTTCCTTAGCCTGCCAAGGCTTCTCAGAGCTGTCTCCAACTAGAAGATGCAATGTTTCAGAAATGGTTTGACTTTCCCTATGTTAATTGGAAAGGGGGAGGGAGAGAGGGAAATCTTGTCATTTAAGCTACTGCTCATGATTTTATAGTAAATTCAAGGACAGTTTCTGAATGCATCTCTTCACTCATTCACCCAAGCTCTCTAAAGGACACATGGCCAAATTGTGGTGTAATTCTCTTTTGTTGCAACTGTCTGTTCTATTTAAACAAAGATTAAAAGAAATTTGTAAGTCTGCCGATTCAAAGGTTGTCTTACATACTGTCAGAGTAAACTTGTACTGGGCATCTGTTTTTTTAGGAATTCAGTCAGTGATTTAAGCTGACTTTTTTCAAGTACCTTGATTTGAAATATGCTCTGTTCTGTTTCCCTTTATATGTCAGAGTCCAGTTTACTGTTGTGGACTACATGTTTCTTTTCTTCCTCCTCATTCTTACTTCTGACAGAGTTCTCCCACCCCCCAAGGAAGCTGTTGTGTTAAATTCTGTAACTGGACTTGTGCCTAAAAGACAAAGCAATTTAGCTGAGATACTTACTGTTTATGTAAGTGCTGGTCATATTCCAATTATTAGCAAAGGAAAAATAGAATAATGCGTGATGCAACTCTACATGCAGAACATGAAAGGTTGTAAAGATTTTTTTTGAGCCGTACTCACATTGTAGAACAGCAAATGACATTTTTACAGTATTTTTTGTAAAGCGAACAATTTTGTGCCTTGAATTTGGTAATCTGTATTAGTGAAGCATTGTAAAAGTGAACTTCTACCTCTGTATCTTAATGTATACCATCCACTTGTAAACTACTATCACACAAATTGTGATTACTTTTTTAGAATGTCTTGTTAAATAGTGACCAATGCCTGTGGTTATTAAAGTGAGCCACCTTTTCCTTAAAACAGTGATTGGAATGTTTCCTTTAAAGACTGAACTAACACAAACTACTTGTGCCTGTTCTGCAGCTCTCTAGTATCAACACAGATCAAATATTTATGTCTCAATTCCTGTATCCACTTCATCAGCTACATGGTTTACAGTGTAATCTCTATAAGTCTATTGGTAAGTACTGTGAAATTAGGCTGTAGGAGCTGACAGTTTTGTCTATCATCTAAACTCATTGAAGAAATAACTGGTCAAAGAGATATTGAAGAATATTAATTTTGGTGTTCTATAGATCTGCATTCAGATCTATGGAAAAAATGACCTGGGGTAGATGCAGTTGTAGTGAATTAAAAAGTAAATGGAGTTTCAGTACAGCTTTAGTTATTACTGCATACACATAACACATATAAAATAAAAAATCAGTATCTGTGTCAAGAACAGTGTTGTTAACTCTGTTTAGAAACTAATTGAAAGTAGAAGAAACTGTTTACATTAACCCTGACTCCAAATTCCATGTTCTTTTGAAAAAGTCTTTTAATGACTTCCCCAGAGCCAAATTAACTCCCAGCAAAGTCACTAAGAGCAAATACAGCAAATTTCATTCTATTACATAGCATCATTTTACTGCACATTTGTTTTTAAGATGTCTCAATCTTTACTGCTGTGTCAGACTAAGAAGCAATTTTAAAAGTTTGATGTATTGATGCTTAAGACACTTAATCAGACTGAATGAAAAGGAAAAACAAGAAGCTGATCAGTAATACCAAGGTTCTGTAAAACATCATGCCACTTTCAGTGGTTACAGACTTACTTAAAAAGCAAGTTTCAAGGCTTGCAGAGTTCTCCTTTAATTACTGAATGGGTGGTTATCTTGGTTTCTCTAAGGTTACTACCTTTTCTCTCAGTTTTTCAAGTGTGTGGCTGAAGGCTGGCTTGTGGCTGGTGCACTCTGAGTATGTTTCTAAAACTTTTTATCTCCTATTCAAAAGTCATAGAAAGGGAATACCAGATACCTTGTCGATCTAGTGAGACTTGCTTAAGTGCTTCTGGGGAGCACCTTTAGTCTGCATAGTGCTTGTCTTGCAAAGTGGGAGACTGAGCATAAATTCAATTCAAGCCTCCAGAAAAATTCAATTTGCTAGCTTTTCTGATACAGATGAGCTGTTTTTAAAACAATACTGAAACTTCTGTCATCTCTAGTCCCACCGTTTAAAAAAAAAAAATGGGGCACATAGAGAAACTAATTACCTGTCCAAGAGGCTTCCCAGTTGTATGGGTGACTCCTGTAAAGCAGGAAGAGAAGATTTGTGCCTGAGGATGGAGTGGGAACCAGGGTATTTCCTGTTTATATTACCCTAAACTGCTGCAACTACCATGTGATGCTGAGTGTTTCCTTTAACACTCTGATCAGAAACTATGAGAACTGCTATGTCTCTTCAAGGCTGTGGCTAATAAACTACACTGACTTTATGGTGAAATAATACAGTCTAAGTAGCTCAGGTAAAAGTTTTAAATCAATACTTTAGCCTAGTAACTTAATGTAGGAACCCTTGCCTTCGTTCCTCTAGGATGATGTGGAATTTTACTGCTAAACCCAAGTGAGCTGACATGGGTGCACCTCTTGTCATTTTCTGTCCTGCTGTAATGACCTGATGGGATAGGCAGCTGGTGAAAGTTTTCTCAGAAGGCTCCTATCTTAATGATGCTAAGCTTACAGTCATGTAAACAAGGTATTTGAAGATTGTTCTGTAGCACTCTACTTCCCAGTAAGCAGAACAAATTGCATCCTTGGTTCATCTGTAATGCTTTTCTAGGGCTTCTAGTCCCTAGTCTTTAAAAAGAATCTGGGATTGCCAGATCTCTAAAATGGGTGTATCCACTCTGTAGTTGGAGTGAGATAAGACAAGTTTGGGCTTCAAGTATCTTTGCTTTTGGTGTTAGTAGTTTCCTGTATCATGTGCTTGTAGGTTATTTTATGTATTAATGAACCGTGTATTGCAGAATACACCATCTAAGGAGTCTTTCTGCTGTGCCTTTTGCAATTGGATACGTCTGTCACACGTTGGCCTCATAAGCCACCAGCGTGCCTGTAGCAAATGTGGATAGAGCCTTCCCAAATCTTCGTTCACAAAGCCCAGCCATGATGAATGTAGTTGCAGCTTGGAGCACCTAAGCTAGATGCCTATTATAGTATAAATTGCTCTTCCCCCCCTGTTAGGCCTGTCTGTGTATGTAAAGTTGTTAACACACAGTAAGTAGGTACTTTAGCTTACATCGTGAGGGCTTGTGCAGAGGACCTAGTGAGGTAAGCTAATCAGGAGCATACCTTTTTACTTCATAATGAACAAATAATTAGGAGCAAGTGTTATTCTTTAGATTCAAACACCATCATAGTCAGTCCTAACTCTTGTGTGTAGACAAACTCTTGTTATCAGGAGCAACTTGGGAAAACTCATTTGGGATCAGAGCTGTGTAGTGAATGCACATAAATTAAAGGAGTAAGATTTGAGCCGCTATGGTTCTGAAAGTGTGCATGTAATCAAGAGTTTGATGCATATAAAAGCATTAACTTAACCTCTGAATTTGGTTCCTGATTTTTCTTGCGTCTCCGAGTAGACGAGCCCTCTGTTTAACAAAGGCAGATGACCATAATGCAAATGGTAATGTGGTAGGTATTTAGCCTCAAAGTCTGTTTCTGTCCATTAATGTTTTAAACCCAGGTTTTCCAAGTACAGAAGCTTTGGGATTCCACTCAATTTTCCCTTGCTGCCAAGTTCATACCCCAAAAATAGGAAATAAAACTTTCTATCATTGAGATAAGGTCTTCTGACAGTCCCTGAAACAGCAGGTCAGGCAGAACTGGTTGATGTGGGTACCTATTTATGGCTTATTTTGTCATCCGAAGCCTAAATTCCAGGTGTTTAGTCACACAGCTACTTTTCTCCTTTAGGAAAAAAAAAAAGAGCTGGGAAGTCTAGGGACAGTCCCCAACAAAGTTAGAAATTTAGTTATATAAACCCCAAACCCCTAGTATGCTAATTGACCTGCCATGTGTATTTGCCTGACCATGAAATGCTGATGTATCTAATGACAGAGAGTGTGGCTTTACTATACCCTCAAAGAAATGAAGAAATTCACAGTAACTTTATTTAGACATAATTTAAGTGGACAACCCAAATATTTAAAATAACTTTAGAAATAACATTTCAGCTTACATACTTATCTGTCTGTTTAATGCTGACAATACACAAACAATTCATTTCTTCTGCAAAATAATAATAGAAAAAGCTTTTGAGCTCAATGATGAATGTGCAGCCGTCAGGATCAAGTGTTTGTGTTGTTTGTGTGTAAGTTAAATGGGCAGGATGTTTGTTTCCCTCTTCCTAAGCGGGGCAATTGTAGCTCTTAGCCAAGGAGCCACAATGTATTTTGAAAAAAAGAAAGTATTTAAACACATTCCTGTCTGTACAGGCTAACCAAACTGCCTTTAAAATGTTATCTATTCTTATTGAAAACATTTTGGCAAACATTTTGCCTGGGCCAGTGCCTATGGCGCTGGATTAACTGGAGGCTTTCTTTTCTAATCCAATTATTGAGGAAAGCTGCTGTGACAGTAAGATGTGGGGAATAGCTAGAGCTAAACCATTACAAAAGCTAGTAGCTGTATCCGGGGAGAGGTTTTTAGTGGGAGAGGAAGAATGGGGTGCTAAGATGGCTCTAGGGATCTCCTCTCCACACCCCACGCTAGCAGCTTGTGTTGCAGAGTGTGTACAAGCACAGCATCTTACTCATGTTCTGACATCCAGCTCTCCCTTCTCATCACAGCTGCAGGCAGCCATAGTCCTGAGCTCATCTACCAGGGCTCATCTACACATGTTCCTGCACAAGACTTATTCTGAAATAACTGTGCTTAAGTGTGGTGTGTGTACCCTAACACTTTGCAATAAGCATGAACTGTTTCAGCCTAACTTAAGAGCAGTGCCCTGGAGGAAGTTCTGTGCTCCAGGACTTATTCAGGACTAGCCAGCGTGTTTTGAATGCTTGTTCTATTCTCATCTCCGTCACCTGCCACGTCTAAACAAGCCCTTAGAAGGTAATTACAAGCCTTCATTTTGATGTGTCCACTCAAGCTACAGATAAGTAAAGTTAGCTTAAACTTGTTCTGTTTTCTTAACAGGCATTTTGATCCACTGCTTAGAACAAACTTTACTGAATATGAGTTAGGTCTCTATGTAGATTAGTAGTTCATGGGAATGAACTACTCCATGCTTAAGGATGATAGGTTTTCCTGCCATGCTGAGGACCAGGAATATTGACCTTTGCAGCTGTTTTAGAAGGGAGCTTCAGCCTAGTTAAACCTCTGGCCTGCAAGGTAAGGAGTTTTATGTCAACAGTAGGATCGGAGGAGAAGGTGGAATTAAGGTCTCCCAAATATCCCCAAATCAAGCTATCATCAGTGCTCTGTTTTATTGGTGTCTTCACAGAGGTTTTATCCCCAGTTCTTGTCTTGTGGCTCCTACTAGTTCACTAATGGCCTTCATGCAGATATGGCTCCAAGGAACCAGTGTTTCCTCAAGGCCACTGCTTTCCCAGGACTTGCCTGCGAACTGCAATGCTTGAAATGCCAAGGGCTGCCAGCTTCTTATCCAGCAAGTGTTCACAGTGGTGGGAAATAAGCATGAGGCAGGTGTGACCACCTTCCAGTGGAGGCATCTTAAATTGGAACAGTCCAGCAAAAGCACTGATACATGGATTTCTGCATCTCTCTTGTATCCACAATCCAGTCAACCTGATAAGAAATAGCAGCTTTTCTCTCCTTCAAGTAACTCAATAAAAATCATTTAAACAGTTGTCCTCTGTATTTTATTTCTAAATTACAGAACTGATCACTTCTCTGGTTCTTTAACCAAAAATTTTGACATTTAAAAATAACATGTGATTCACATAATACATCATCTGTTAGCATGTGCAAAATAAGGCACTTTGTTAGTCCCAGGACTAACCTGGGAATTTTGGAGG